CAAACTATACAAAATAAAGCGCTAAGAAGTATAATTAAAGCGCCATGGTTTATTTCGAACAAGCAAATTCACCACGAACTACAAATTCCAGCAATAAAAGAACACATTACCAAATTGTCCGAAGACTTTTTCACATTACTCCCCTCATCTCCCAGCACCTCCATTTTCAACCTTGGACCCACAGCAGAACCGAACTTACGCATCAACTCATGCTTCCCTAAAGACAGATTCAGACCATCATAAAATACCAGAAAATAGGCCTCAAATAATATAACCTTCATCGAATAATCATATCAACGATCATTCTCTGTACTCTTAATATACTTCCGTAATAATTTAAATTATTAATAATAAAAAAATAATAACAACCAAAAACATTTATCGCATCCGTCGAGGGCACCCACAGTTAGGAAATAAACCAAAAGTTATGTATGATTGTATTCACAACCCTGAAAAACATGTATTTTGAACAGGTAGACAATAAATTTAAAAAAAAGAATATCCAGATGAGAGAACCTTGCATCTCAACCTAACTCATACTCACAAGTAAAACTTTGTCTCTTCTCCGTAAGTGGTAGCGAGAAAGTAAAAAGGGCACCACATACTGCGGGCAAAACGGTGAATATTCTATAGAAAACGTCTTATTACTGGGCCCTGGTAACGAAAAAGTGGATAAATCGTGTTCCTTTATAGGATAAAAGGGAGAGGAAGATAGATAAAGAGGGGGAAAAGGAGAGAGAGTCCTGCTCTCTTTCCCTTACCTTTTTCCTTTTTCTCACTCCCTCTGTCTTTAAGCTCGCTTTTTAACCGTAACTCTTTTCCCTCTTTCTCTCTCCCTTCTCTCTCTTCCCCCTCTTCTGTCTTCCCTCTCTCTTCCTCTTTTCCCCCTCGAATCACTCTTTTTCCCTCTCTCAAAATATTATCACTTTCTTTTTCCCTTTCTATCTATCTATTTAGCAGTTTTTTACAGCCTTGGCCGTTTTCCGCATCCCAGTTTCCACGCCTCTTTATCCCATACATCGTTTTCCTCCATTTCTCTTTTTTCCATGGCTTCAGTTATTGCCATGTTCCATGTTCTCGGTCTTCCCCTGTATCTTCTTCGATTTGGTATCCACTCCCAAACTTTTTGAGAAAGTCTATCCGATTTCAACCTTCTCATATGTCCATGCCATTTTAGTTGTCTCATTTCGATCGTCTCGTTCAAGGTTGTTTGCACTTTCATTTTATTTTTTCTTTCATCATTTCTTATTTATCTAACAGAGAAAGTTTACAACATCTTCGCCAGAACATAATTTCTGGTAATTGAAATTTGTCTTTCAATTTTTTTTATTGTGTCCAGACTTCTGCCCCATAGAGTGTGGTACTCTCTATGAGGAGCTATATTTGCGTTTCTTTGTCTTCATTGAAATAATTGAGTTCTATAGCACTGGATTCAACTGTCTTGTGTCTATTTTTCCTCTTATATTTTTATTTTTCACATCCTGTTCGTCTCTACCATCTGCTGTTAGTGTGACTCCCAAATACTTATATTGTGTTTTACCTTTAATTATTCCTATACCAGTCTCTGAATCATGGGGCACACCTCCCACCACCTTATATTCAGCATTTTGTAAATTTATTTCCATTCCCCATTTTCCATACTCTTCTACTAATTTTAGAACTTCCCCCTTTCTTTTGTTAAAAAAAGCACCAAATTTCTTTTCATCAATTTGGACCTCGGATAACTTGAAGGACGCTTAAGAGAATTGTGCAGGTCTCATTTTCGTTGAAATCCAGAATTTTTAGAAAATTACAAAATTTCAAAATTTTTTTGGTGTCTAAACAATTAAAAAGATACAGTATTTTTCTTATTGATATGCGTTCTCAGAAACATATCTCAAAAGGTCATGTAACATTTTTCGAAAATATGAGAATTATTTGCGTAATTTTACTTGAAACAGGCAATTGAAAAAATTTGAACCATTCTTTCCTCAGAAACAGCTCCAATTCTTTTCTCTAATTTGTTTTCCATGTATGTTGCAAAGAATAGTAAAGTATGTGGTGCTAGAACGATTTTCAACGCCGTCTCTGTATTTTCGAAAATTGAAAAAAAAAATCAAAATTAATAAACGAAAATCGAAATGATAAATTCGAATACCCCGTGCTTCATTTGACCCGTTGTCAACATGGTCTATCGCATAATGGCAAGTCCAGTGGATGAAAATTCTTAGAATTTTAGTATTTGTAGTCAGTCTTGTTAATCGTACGATATAGATAACATTCTTATGAAAGAAATAGAGTTAAGGAAGGTAATATATTTAACGTAGAACTAACATATATTTATTTTACTTTAAGAAGTTTTGATCGCAGATTATGATAATCAGAAATTGTTAACGTCCTTCCATCTATTCAAGACAAGCTTATGTGAAATATCATTCGTTTTTTCTGCATGTTCTGCAAATACTGTAACAGTTAAACTTTTTTGTTGTTGTTGTTGTTGTAAAAGTTAGAAATGACTACTTTGTGTTCGTGGCAAAGGCGCTTCGTTTGAATTGGACTTTTCACGTTATAACTGTCTTATTAGTATGTCAGAAATTACAGCACTTCAATATTACTTAACTATTCTTAATATTGTAAGAACGTATGTGCTGTAATTAAGAAAGATACATAGTAACTCTGTACGACAAGAAAATAGGTACTTAGGAAGATTTGGTGTTGTATGTTTATAAGACATAAATCGTCTTGAAGGAAATTTCAAGAAATGTTTTATCAAATGAGTGGCACGTTGCACGTAGGCTCTGCGTGACATCGTGTCCGTACACTGAGCGCAACATTGAAAGAAATTGAAAGGAATTTCCGAAAAACTCCATTCCCGAGGGATTTTTTTTCTTTCGATCTTTTCGTGTCCATTTGCCCTGGAGAGGCGGGATACAATAATAGCTGCAGCCGATAAGGCTTTTGCAGCTTGTGCGGGCATATCTTAAATATACTAACTAAAATGAACTTCCGTAAGTAATTCCATAGCCACTTTGGGCGGTGATTGCTTTAGAGTAAGTATTTTATTTTCCAGTTCTTTAGAAATTCCCGAGGGATATCCTCCGCCGTACCTTTCCACCGGCGCTCTCGGAGAGAAATAAAAGGCGATCGATGAGCCGGACGCGGAGGCGGCCGAGCGCGGCCGAAGAGAGCCGAAGCGAGGCGCCGCCCGCCACGCCGCGCCCAACCAGTCGCGCAGCGCAGTCCAGGCCGTCTGGAACTGTGCTCCTCCGCCGGCGGGCAGGCGTGTGCAGGAGGCCGTGTGCGATCCGATTGCATGTGAAGTCTGTTCCTCGCGGGCCGGGCCGGGCCGGGGCTGGTGTGTCCTTTGTCCTTGGGAACAGCTGAGCGGCGGTGCGCGGGCGGGCGCGGGCTGGCATCCGACGAGTCGGCCAGCTGTCCGTCGCTCGCCGCCCTCTGGCGCCGTGCGGACGAGGACGGCAGCGGGGGCGGGGCGGGCGCGGCGGGCGGCTGGCTGGAGGCCGTCGAGAAGGTGCTGCTCTGCCTGTACGTGTGCGCCTACATGCTCGGGGTGCTCAAGAGGCGGTGGAAGCCCAAAAGGTGCGTGCGTGCGTGCGTGCGTTTGTCACGTTGTGGATGCTGGAATGCAAAAGTGGCACAACTCAAACAATCAGGTGTTGAGATAAACGAGTTCGAAGTTTTCACCTTGTATTGAAATAAATTATTCTTGCATTCACACTTCTGCCATTGGCGAGTGGTATACTGTGCTGTAAGATTTGCTGCTGGAAAGTAGACCAGCCTTCAATTCTAGAGAGTGTATTAACTCAAAATTCTAATAAAAACGATACATCCAGTCAGGTTACCAAAAAGTATAGTTTCAATCTCATTTGTTCAGAAAGACAATGGAAAGGAAAGATAATGGTTCTGGAAAGACAATGTTAAAAAGCAATACATTAAACAAACCATTATCCGTCTAATTCATATCACTGTGTTATATAAATTACACTAGGGAGCACGATTGTAACCCCCAGGAAGGTAGAGTGCGCAACGTACTCAATTTTATACATAGATCACGAGAATCTCAATAAAAACGACACAGCACGCCACAGTTTTTAAATGTATTATATCGTATCATACCGTATTTGGATATTAATGCAGGTACATTTAAATTAATCTGTAAGATGCGTAGAATCAATACGCATGAATTCTATTAAAAAATAAAATATTTGTTCAGTACATCTATGCCTCTTTCCTCCCCTTCTGTTAATTGTTTATTTTATATACAAACACATTCCATGGTTGCCTTTGCAATTCAACATCAAATTTCCTGCTATCTCTCTAAATTAGTCCTTTTTATACGGGATATCTCATTTCTCCGTTGACTTACTAGAGCCTTCATCGAGTTACCAAATTTGTGTCGGTACTACTAACACACACAGTTTTAGCTGCCTTGCGATGGTTAGTATGTTTAACTAGTTTAAACTCAAAGATTTAAATAAATTACCTTCCATAATGGATAATTCGATGATTCTAGTTTTGTTAATGTTGAAACATGAGCTAAATTTCTTTACATATAATTTGAAACCAAGTGTTTACCTTTAGAATTTCAACATGTGTACATAACCTCACTCTGTGTCGGGTAACCCGCCTCTGTCTTACCGATGTTTTGAATAAATTATATAATATGTAATATACTGATGTAAATTAGACGAATAATAATGTGTCTTTAATGCACTGTTTTTTAACATAGTCTTTGCAGAAATTGAACAAATGAGGTCGAAACGCTTTTAAAATATACAGTTTTGTAACCTGACTGGAATAATATTTTTTATTGGAATTTCAAGCTAATGCACTCTCCAGAATGGAAGATTGGTCTACTTTCCAGCAGCAAATCTTGCAGCTTAGTATTTCACTCACAAATGGCTGAAGTGTGAATGCAAGAATGATGCACTTCAATACAAGGTGAAAACTCATTTATCTTAACACTTGCTATTTTGAGTTGCACCACTATTGCATTCCACGAACGAATGTTCTTATTATTGGTGTCGTCTACATCGTAAATCGAATGATGTTAAGTTATCCTTCCTTTACCCTCTTAAATGTTCGAAAATCCATAAAGAAGAGGGAAAAAAAATTGGATTGATGAGGCCGTGGGATATTAATTCTGGGTGGCCACTCTCACAGAACGTCCAATTTTTTGCACAAAAGTCTCACCTCTCTCCTATTTTAATCCTCTTAGAAATATAGTTTGCTAGAGAAATCAATAGGCATTCGGGATAGCAACCTCATTTTTAATTTATCTACGTAGGGATAGTAAGTAAGATGGAAATGGCGTTTTGTAGTTATTAACAACAAGATTTGAATGGTCAGGTTCAAAACAATCAGGGAACTGTATTTCGTGCTTCCAGTAAAAATGTATCTGTGTATAGAGAGGAGTTACTCTAAAGAGGAACAAGTTTGACAGGTTGGGAAACAAATTAACGTCAAGTAGGACGATGACATTGCAAACGACAATGATGAAACGAAACCATTGACGAATTGAGTGCAGGGACATAACCTGCAGTTATGTTGCCAGCAGATGTCAAAGCGGTTCCTTCTTATAGTGATCTTTGTAAATAAAAAGGTAAGTTTTTTTTAAAAATCAGGCGTTAACATAACTGCTCCCGTCTTGCTCGTCACCCCTTGTGCATCGCCAGCGTTGGTCAGAAATGCTTCTTGGAGGAACCGCTTCGAGCGCTGGTGAAAGTGTACGATGGTGAAAAGACAAAAACATCTGACGTGCGACTAAATTGCGCTTCAAAACCTGAATCACCCGCTGTGCGGGCGCCGGCGCCATTCTTCAAAGAGGCAGTGGAGTAGCCCATTGTTTAATTTCTGATCCCGATGCAGCCACACGAGATACCATTAGTGGCTTAGTTGTTCACCAAGTTGAAGGAATTGCGCAGAGGTTAAGCGTAAAACCGCGCGAAGGGGCTCAGTGCGTAGCGTGCTGACTTCGCAATCGGGAGGTCCGCGTTCGATCTCCCGCCCAGTCATCCTGACAAGGGTTTTTCGTGTTTTTTCGGTTATCGCTCGAATGCTGGGATGGTTCAAAAATGCCACGATCATCACCGCACCTGCTATCTCCCACCATCATACTAGTCCTTTCACCCCTCATCATCACTAACATTTCATTCAGCATTCCATGCAAAAGACAGGAGGCCCTTGTCCTTAATGGGGACTTTGTTGGCTAATAATAATAATAGTAATAATAATAATAATAATAATAATAATAATAATAATAATAATAATAATAATAATAATAACTCTAAAAATCCAATTCTAACTTGAAGATTTTTGAGAATTGAGTGGAAGAGGAGGTGCCGCGTACTTCTCACCCTATCTCGCCGCGACCGAACACCTGTCCTTTGGCTCGACAGCCAGCTACGATCCATGGCCAACCAGCGGTGACCCAAGCTCTCGGCCAAGGAATAAGGGGTTCGTGTGGTTAGCGCGAAGATATCCCTCCACCGTTGTACTGGTCTTAGAGTGGGCTTTCTCATCAGCAATAGCAATAGATACTGGGACATTAGTAAGGAAAGCGTAGTTACAATTTGCCTCGGCCGGTAATCGAACCCAGGGTTCCGCTGTGGAAAGCGAGCACGCCAACCAACGAGTCAGTGCTTACACCAACTATTCACACTTGCCGCTCACGTAACTAACTTTAACTGAATTAACCACTCTCTCGACTCTTTTAATAACACCTAAGATTGCAGATAACTTTCGGATCATGAAGTCCCCTTTTTGTCTTTGTAAGGAAAAGTGCAGAAGTCGCGGCTATTGCTCGCTGCGGCGGAGGCGTTGCCACGTGACGCGGAGCTGCCGAACGGCCTTTTAATTTTGCTGTGGGCGCGTGCGTTGTCGCATTGGGGCCACGTGCACAGCGGCGACCTTCGCGCACCCCTCCCCTCCCTGTTGCAAGCCCTTGCCACGCCTCTCTTCACCTCGCCTCGCAGCGCGCGCAGCTACGGCAACTCCAGGGGAAGGTACTCATTTTCTGTTGCACCACAACAACATAGGTATAGCCGATCCGGATGGCCGGGACCGCTAAGGCAGTAGCTCCGTAGCGATCTCGGACCGAAGGATCGCATGGTTGAATTGTGTGCGTCCTTTCACACCCCTATCGTCATAGTTACCATAACTGCTGCTGAAATTTTCGTTGTGTTACATGGGGGCGGATTCTCAGACAAATTTTGGGAGGGGAAATTCAAAATGTTTTCGTCGATTATGTCATATTACTGATTTATAAAATGTCGCCGGCTACACTCAGCTCATGGTATACGATTTTACTCATTTTAAAAAAATAATCCGCAAATATTTTTCTGTGTCGTGACAAGTTAAAATTAACAGTTACTGAAAAAGTTTGGGGGAGGGGAAATTTTCCTCGTTCCCTCCCCGTGGATCCGCGCCTTTTGTAACAGTTACAGCAAGTAGATCCCGTCGAAGAAATTTCCTTGAAAATAGTTTTCAAGTCATCCATTTTCAGGCAGAAAGTGGATTGAATTTATTTTGAAAAAAAAAAATATAGTTTATCCTATGTAATTGTACTGTGCACTTATTTTTTATTTGCTTACTTTACTACTGCATGTAAAGAAAATAATTGAATATAAGGAAACGAGACCACAAATAGAGGAAATATAATGCGAGCAATGAACAGCGATTGCCAAGAAAGAAGCTGAGAAAGCTGTCATGCCATCAAAAATTAGGAGCAGCAGGACCAGACGGGATATGAACATCTAAAACTGTCATTACCGCTGCTAGCGAAAAAATGTATAAATATAATGAATGAATGAATGAATGAATGTCTAGAATTCTTGCGGACAAAACCGGAAGAATGGTGCATAGTCACAATGAAACTACTGTGCAAATGAAAAATTGATAGAAGTACACCTGATGCATCTCGCGGAATAATAAGCGACGATATTCAAAATATTTACAAAACTGCTTGTAAGGAAGATAACGCCAGTAATAGAACCACTACTTGCTGAAGAGCAATTTGGATTCAGGGAGGGACGCTCTACAGTAATGGCAATGGAATGTCTCATGAAAAATACAACAAACCAACTAGAAAAGCCAAAAGGAAAATTATGTACAGTATTCGTAGACTTCTGGAAAGCATTCGACAGAATAAACAGGCAAATAGTAACAACGAAAATGATAGAAATTGGAAAGACATGGCTCACAAGGATAGTAAATAATATCTTAACCAAAAATTACATAAATGTGCAAGACATCGCAACAACACAAGAAATTGAACAGAGCATTGGACTACTACTAGAGAACCCTATAAGCGCACTTGTATTCAATCTGATGATCAATGATTTGGCAAGGGCAATGAAGAAGGAAACATGTGTGGAAACATATGTTGTAGCGATTGCGTCAAGAAGTATAGAACAACTACAGAAAGCAGTAAAAAACATAAGTGAATGGGAAGCTCGAAACGAACTTGAAATAAATACAAAAGACCTGAATTAACAATATTGAGAAGATGAGGAAAAATAGCACCAAAGAAGTAATAACTTGTAACGGAGAAGGATTAAAAAACGAAGACACCAAGGTACCTAGCGGCAACGATATAAACAAAAGGAATATTTTCAATGCACCTAAATGGACAATGCATTGGAAGCTGTCACTAGGAGCGCAAATGAGATAAGACACCTGAGAAAATTGAGCATTAAAATAGCGATGAAATTGAGGTAAAAATAACACCTACAACCACGTATGGAATCTGCTTAACATGGCAAGAATTAACAAAAACAAAGAAAAAAAACAAAAACAGATGCAAATGTTAAAAAGCTAAAATCAACATATATGAAAAGAGCACTAGAAGGATCGAACTATACGCCAACAAGACTAGTATATGTACAGTCACTACTGAGGGAGAGTCACTTCCCAGTACGAAAGCATCAGAAGCAGTGATAAAGGAACGAAAAGAGAAACTGGCAAGAATTCTACTCAACAGACGCTATGATTAACCGAAACTGGTCAAAACTAGGATGTGAACTTAGATACGTAGTGACACGACTGGTGGTGCATGGATTTTACCACAAAATATGTGGAACAAAAAGTTTCCATGGCCCATGTGGAAAATGCGTGTGTAGTGAATGTGGAGAAAAGTATTTTTTACGAGCGGCGGTAAAAACCTTCCAAAGCCACTGCGAAGTCCACTCTCCGCAGCGTGTGGAATTCACAGCTAGCCTCTGCCTCACCCACTACAAAGCCCTCCCATTCCTCCGATTCCCTCCCCGCGGAACCACCGTCGGGGAAGGGCAGATCGGCTTGTCGCTCTAGGCCAACGGATGCCACGGGGTTCTCCTTCGCAGTCGTTCTTCTACCCGAAGCTTCTTTAAAACGATTGGGGCGTAGGAAGCTACTGCTCTTCAATTCTCCTATGACACCAGGGTCCTAATAGGAAAATATACGACGGATACCATCTGGTAAAGTGTATGAAGAGGGCAAACCATCACAGAATATGCAAAAGAATAACACTGATAAAACTGAGATGAAAGTGCATATTAGTGCGTAATTATACATACATACATTTATTAGAACTGCAATTGGGTATGACCCGGTGGCAGTTAAGTGACAATAATTGTAAAAATTACAACACTTACATTAATAATACTAATGATGATAATGATGATGATAATAATAATAATAATAATAATAATAATAATAATAATAATAATAATAATAATAGTAATAGTAGTAGTACCGTACAGTACATTCAAAGACGAAAAGGAGCATTGAAAAGTGCATTGATCGCGTTCACCGCACTTCACTTCACTTCACTTCTCTACACTTTTTTGTTTGAATTACACTGACCAGCACTTCACAGCACTTCACAGCACTTACTCATTTAATATCTGTTACTGTCATCTTGTTCTAACTTGTTTCTAAAACTTCGGACACTGAGAGGAAAAGCTTTGAAAACTGCTGCAGGTAAACTGTTCCAATCTCTAATTGTTCTGTTACAAAAGAAAAACTTCCCAAGATCTGAATTTTGTTTCCTTGCTCGAATTTTGTGGGTGTGATCGCTTCGGCCGAAATAATTTGGTTTTTTTAGTCTAATCTGAATTTCCTTCCAAGCTGGTTGACCTACGTACGATTTATAAAGAGCGCAAAGTCTCGCCTTTGTTCTTCTCTTATTATTATTATTATTATTATTATTATTATTATTATTATTATTATTATTATTATTATTATTATTATTATTATAATTATAATTATTATTATTATTATTATTTCCTCTAATACGTTGGGTAGTCAGAATACACGTTTCGTAGGTTCTTGACACCGAAAAATTGTTTGACGGCAAAACGCGTCTTATCTCTTCGTCCGTCTCTCTGACTGTGTGGTCAATGATAGCTTGCGTTTTCCACAGGTCAGACAGACTGACAAATGTTTTGCCTTAATCCAATTGTACTTTCTCGAGCACAGCTCACGCATTATGTAGAAAGTTTTGTAATGCTGTGGGAAAAAACGACGATTTGTTGACGGCAAAACACATATTCAACCCTGGGGATGAAATAGTGAAAATGTTCCTATCAGGTATAAAGTATTTCCTCTAAAACGTTGTGTAGTCAGAATCCATGTATTGTGAGTCCTTGGTACCAAAAAACAACCATAAAGGCATGAAATGAGTGGCGGCAAAACGTCTGTTTGTTCGCGTGCGTGCGCGTATGTGCGTGCATGTGTGTGTGTGTGTGTGTCCTCGTCTGCCGTCGACTCTAGCGCCTAACTCGCTCAGACGATATGGTATTCCGAGACCGATCTGAACGAATTTGAGGGCTTCGAAGTTTGAAACTAATATTTTGATCTTGGGAGGGGGAGGTACTTTATACAAAGCCTCAACATTTACATTTTTTTTCAAACGCTATGATTGTGGATTCAGATGCTATGATTAAACTTTGTTTTCATGTTGCTCATTCAGAATTATTTTAAATAATGGCGATAAATCAAAATGTACTGCAAATGATTATCGGTTGAAAGAAATGTATCTCTTGAAAGTACGTTTAATGCATACTCGATATTTCGGTATAATAAATCATAAACAAGATACGAGACGATTGATTGAATTGTTTAAACTAGAGCCAGGAAAAATCCAACAATAATATAAGGCAGCTCATCATACACGGTAAATAATTGTACAGAAGCGTCTTCTTTGGTGGTGCCGTTTGCAGCTTCTCAGAATACGGATTAAATGTTAGGAAAAGACGCTGCTTTTGGAAGCCCCTCACGATCATCGAGAATGAGACCTAACGAGCGTCAATTTCCTTCTTTTCCTTCCCGTATTCTATAGTGTTCCCGGACTCCGTCTCAAAGGGGTTGTCCTGCTGCTTTTGTTGTGGGAGTTGATTAAGAGACGCCCATAGCTTAGTGTTGGTCACCATCGCTCTGGCTTGCCTTCAAAAGTAGTTAATCTATACGATTACAAAAAAGTTGAAGTATTTAATTTACGACACGAATTCGTTCATTGTGGCCGAAAGCGTAACCCATTTTTAAGCAGAGACAAGCTCGTGCAAACGTGTAATAGAATACGGCAGGTAGGCAAGCTGTACTTGTGCGTCTGCTGTTACAAGCGAACACTATTATTTCAGTTTTCTTTCTCTCTTTCTGTGTGTGTGTTTGTGGCATTGCGTCTGGGCATGGCGTGCTGGCGCCGCCCGTGACTCGACGCCAGAGCGTCAGGATCGATCTGGCTTCTTCCTCTCCTCTCTTGTTTCGGGGTGCGGATCTACAGGCGACAGAGGATGGTGCCCTCTATCTCTTCATGGCCAACCTTTCCTTTCGTTCGAATTATGTTTCTCTCTACGTGACAGCTAGCGGCTGACTGGGGAGAGGCAGTTCCGTTATCCAATCAGAGGCTTCAAATTCTGCTGAAGTCACTACCGAGTTGCCGATATTTGTTAAGAAAAAATGAAATCTTTCAGCGCGAAGTCACTGGAAACCGAAGAGCGCCATTACTTCTTTGGTTATGTATCGTATGTGTGGCTGTATGTCGTCTTCTGTTGTGTATCTTTATTGCCATTTGTTTCTTGCCACTGTTGTGATCTGATGCAAGGACCGCGGGGCCACGTGCCTATCGCCCGAGGAAGTGGCAACATCGCTGTCAAGTAGACAGAAATATCATTGGGAATCTACTGCAGTTGAAGTCAATCTAGAAAATACCGTGTAGCATTTGCTTGCTTTCACACGAATTTTGGATCTTTCGTCAATGTAATTTTCTCCATCTTTTTATTATTTCTCATCATTTCTATCCAGTCTTCGAATTATAATAAAGATGTAGGAATTATTTCATTTTACGTTTTACTTCCGTATTACTTACGTGGAATAGAGAAAGTAATGTAATGATGCGGGACACAACAGCACTTTTGAGAAGAAAATTCGTATTGTGGGATTTAAAAGTGGATAAATCGTGTTATGTTATTTAGTGAAATACTGCCTTTAACACGTTTGTTGTCAGAATCTACGTTTTGTGGGTCCTTGAGACCGAAAAATCTGTCAACGGCCAAACGTCTGCCCGTTGTCATGCGCGGTGCGGGGCAGAGTGGAGAGGGGCGGGACGGGGCCCTCTATATGCCTGGCCGCGTGGCCGCGCCGTTCCAGCGCAGGCCCCTCACTGGTGCGAGCGCCGGGCCGGGCCCGCCCGCGGCCCGCCAGCGGGTCGCCCAAGCCCCCGCGCAACGTGCAGGCGCCCCGGCCTGCGGCGTCCCCACTGATCGCGTCGTGTCCGGAGGTACACGATCCTTGTTGGCTGGCCCAGACACACCCAGTCGCCCTCAACAACCGAAGCCGTCAGAAAGAACCTCCCGCGCCCTGCTACACCACAGAGCACGGCCCTACACTGTCTACCGCGTCCGACCGCGGCCTACGACGAATAGTTATAAGCATGATTTACGTTCTCGCCAAACGCTGTAAGGCGAATTGAGCCACCCGCTTTCTTTTCTTCTCTTTTTCTTTTTTGCGAGCTGCTACCAAATTGATCTGGTAAGATACCGGTGCCCCCCCCCCCCCCCTCCGCAACGCATTTCCTTCCTCGTGGCGCGCCGCGTCGCGCCTGCGCAGTGGCGGAGCGGCTGGCGGCGGCGGCGGCGGCGGCGTCTGCCGCGCGATAGTTTTCACCTTGCGCATATCTTGAGTCTAAGGATTATTGCTTCGACATTCGCCACACTCTGCGCGCTTGGCTCGAGCTGCGATGGCCCGCGGGCGGCCTTGGGCGCGGTCAGCTGGCTGACGTAACCCTGTGGCTGCCGCCCACACTACTCAACTTGCGAGATTCTGCCGCCGCGTGCTAGCCCGAAAGGACATGACCATGAAGGCCCTGCGAATTCCCTAGAGAGGTGTCTTTAAACTCAACAATTGCTAAGTGAAAAATTCGATACACCTCCAGCCGGTGCTCCCAAAGCAAGCCTCGAGTCTTCATGCCCATTTTTGTCACTATCAGCAGAAAGACCAACCTGGAAAGCACAGAGAATGATCATAAGACATTTATGAGTGTGGCTACCTGTATAAACCCAGGACAGAGTCGCTCTACACCCCCAAGAATTTCCCCGCATCCTAACAATCAATACCTCCCTTTTCACTTAAGTCGCTCCTCACGTACACCCGTCGCCAGCTATTTAGTAATCCCTAAGTTACGTACAGATATAACGATTACTATCTGAGGGCGCCCGGTGAAGCTTTGACCAACAAGTATTTTTATGTATCACCCCTAGGGAGTACTGCCAAGGATACGCGCACCAATGTAAACGCTGGAGTAGATCTCAGACACAATGCCACAATATACTGTAGTTTGATTAAAGTGACTAACCGTAATGAGTTTCACGAAGCGTAATCACTGCTCAAAATTACAAAATAAATAACAGCGAGCGCGCGACACAGCATCGTACACACCACTTTTTATTAATTTAGTATTTATATCGTATAAGTTCTCATACCCGTGTAACACTATGAATATCATTAATGCATGTATTATCTCCATTTATTAGCATCTCATCTGTTAAAGATGCAGTTACATAGTTTGCGAGTTCAGATGATTTACGCTCACGCAATTGGCAATTCTATTTAATAAGAATCAATATACATTTTGTCAGCTCTTTACATGCTATGCCTACTGCTTTCATCCAGCTAACTCTCTGTTTAATGTGCTTTACTTTGTAGTATACAAACCATCAATTCCACTGGTGAACCTTGTTGGCAAATTCAAACAGTCATAAGAATTTCCTGCTTATCTACTCGATTAATCTACGTACACTTTTCTATTACGGGATATTCTCATTTACTCCGTTGAAGCTTACTAGAGCCTTCATCGTGAATAAGTTTTACCAAAAGAATCTTGTGTGTCCGGATACTACATAACACACAGCGAGCTTTAATGGCTGAGCACTTGATCTAAGTAAAGAGGATGAGTAGATGAGTGGTTTAACTGAAAAGTCTGTTTTAAAGCTCAAAAAGATTTACAACTTATAGAATTACCTTACCATCAAAGCTGAGATAATATCAGGTGATGTCATTAGTTTGTTCACAGTTAGACATATAGATTCTTACTGTACATGTGTCGTAAAAGACAATTTACGTCTATACAATATAAATTTGCTACAACCGGAGCTGTATTTACTTTCTAGAATTTTCAACTTAACCAAATGTAGCTAACATAATCCTACAAACTCTCAGTAATCAAAGTGTAAAAACTCCCAAACCTTCAATGAGAATATCATTACACAGATATTCTAGTTTGAATATATAAATCATTGAACAATATATAAAAAGGAGTGCAAATGAATAAGGAGAATATAAAAACTAAGAAAGTGGTAGAATTACAGTGATAGAGACCCGAGCATATCCTAACTAAGAGATGCAGAGTGATCAATATAAAATGGCAACATACGTAGTTTATCTACCCACTCAGACTTGGTACACGATTGCATACAGATTCAACCAGTACACGTCTGACATAAGAAAGAGCTCCAGAACAATGGCGAGAGCTTTTAAATAAATAAACATACATAACTCCAGCGATTTTGTCGATAACCTGCGAGCTGGAGCGAGATAGCTAAGATCCGACTACAATTTATCTGTATTGTAAATCATTCTAGACCAAAATGGACAACTACTCATCTAGAGACTGCGACAGCTCTTCTGGTTTCTACTTTCCCAGGTGCAAACTAAATATCTTGACCGCGCATGGACAATAGTCCTCATCTACTTAACAAACATTGGATAAACTCAAAGGTAAGTATGTAAATGCAAAGAAGAATCGCAAATGCTGCACGTTCCAATACTAAGGTGAAAACTCATCTCATCAATGCCTTAGAACAAACCTTGCCTAGTGTAGTGCCCTAGCGACTATTGCGCATTCCCTCGAAC